CATTTTGGTGAATAAACACCAAAATGATGTAGTGTTTATTCTTCACAGGTGAAGTAAGAGATGTAATACTCTAATAAGCCAAGCAAGGAGGAGCATGTCAATATTCTATGAAAGTGGTCCAAAAATCGACCCTTGAGGAATCCCACGCCATGTTTGTTTGCACATCATGTAGACAAACAAACATGGTGTTTGTCCATCATCTTTGTTTGTCCACAAACAAACACCATGTGGCTCTGTTTGTGGACAAACATCATCAAACAACATCTTTGTTTGTCCACAAAAAAAGATGTTTACAAACGAACATGATTTGTTTGTCCACAAACAAATATGTTTACAAACAAACATGGTTTGTTTGTCCACAAACAAAGATGTGGACAAGCAAACATGATTTTTTTTGTCCAGTTAGTATAATCTCTTTCATGGAAATTCAAATGTGAAAAAACTCTTGAGAGTTAATGTTTTTGTTTTTTGTAAGGAAGTCATATTAAAAGGTGGTCTGGGTTTCTCAAAAAGTTTTATGAACAGTTTTTGTTCAATAGTTTCTTAAACGTTGTTGTAACTCATATCATCCAAGTATCTTCAAAGAGTTGCTGTGGATGGTGATCTCTCATAGCAGTCAGTCTTCCAACAAATCTGGACACCTGTGGCAATATTTCACACAAGCATATCCTGGATGACATAATCTGTTACTGACAAATATTGCTAATCCGCCTTCTCTGCTATCACCATTTATCCAAAAGCAAAAAAAAAAAAAAAAACTAACAGCAAAAATACACCCAGCATCAAACATCAAAAGGAAAAGTTGTTCTAAAAGCAACGTGTCTATAAACAAAAGTCTACAACATTGATAAAATCAGAAGTAATGTATCAGAGCAACATGCTGCCACCAATAGCAGCGCAATGCTAGAGTCCAGTAATATGGTGGAGAAACGTGCTCTGTCTAAGCGAATCACTGATCTTCTCTCCATGTCTCGCTTCCTGTTTACAGTCATGATGAGAAGAAGCACTCGACTACAGTCACTGGGTTACTACAACCTAGACGGACTGCCAACCATCTCCTACAGAGAGACTTCATGCAAGTAAGCTGGATGAGCAATGCGTCCACCGTTACATATATTTCTATCGCAGTCCTCTGCTGTCTTCAAAGTAACTATTCTTGTTTTTATTCTCTTGACTCATGCAGAATCTTCAGAAAGCGAAGGAAATGTAAAAGTGCCGACCCGAAAACAGAAATCGAAATCGTTCCTCACATAGACATGAACTTGGTCTTAGACACGGACTCGGACTCAGAAACCATCATTTGCTCTGAGTTTGACTTGGAGACCAACGCAGACACCATCCCGTACACGGACTTTGACTTGGAGATAGACAACATCACATCCACAAACGTAGGCACGGACTCAGACGCAGAAACCGTCACATACACAGTGTTAGACACAGACTCAGACACAGAAACCATCCTATGCACAGACTTGGACATAGAGTCAGACACAGAACCCATCCCTCACAAAGACTTGAACATGAACACTGAAGCAGGGATGATAAGAGAAGAAGAAGAACCACACTCCAAAACCAGTTGGATGACCATCGGCAGTAAGCTGTTCCCCAAAAGGAAATACAAGGAGAACATTAGCTTGTTCTTCATCACGTGCCTCGTGGTTTTTGGTAACCTCCTTATTTAACAAACATTTTGAGATTCTGTGTTTTGAAGTAAACGTCATTGACCTGGCTGTCTTCTGCTTTGTCTCTGCTCATTAATCAGTTCTGGCTTACCCGATTTATGCTATGAGCTTCACACCTGAAGAGTCTCCTGCTTCCCCTATTGCAGCAGACATGGTATGTTGTCAACATTACATCTTTTTATTCTCACTATACAAACATAAGTCAAGTCATGCATATCTCTCCTCTCATTCACAGGCCTCCAGTGGATACTGCAAAGAGATGACAATGGATCCAATAGAGCTGATGAAGACTCTGAGGGGCTGTCTCCCACCATAAATTAGCATTAGCATCACAGAGTAGGAGACTGCATTCAGCGAATATCACTGAACTCACACCTCAGTTTTCTCTGGAGTTTATGATTTCTCACTAACTGTGTGTCTGTGTTTTAAGGCCCAACCAAAACCAGATCCACTCCCAGAGTTATGGATAGGTAAGTATGAGGTAAGTATGGAGGTAAGCATGTCTACACGACTTCAATCAAGGTGAAAACTACCAGCCTGTACCCACCTGTTATCTACCTACCTGCATATCTACCCACCTGTTATCTACCTACCTGCATATCTACCCACCTGTTATCTACCTACCTGCATATCTACCTACCCCTCTGTCTGTCTATCGATATATATAGATAGACAGATCTTCCTCCCCCTACCTCTCCATCTTTTCATCACTCCCTCTCTTCAACCATTCCTCTCTTTTTCCCTCCATCTCTCCCTCTCCCCACCCATTCCTCTCTCTTTCCCTCCATCTCTCCCTCTCCCCACCCATTCCTCTCTTT